GTACTAGCGGCAAAGGGCATGGGCTTTGGCATTTTTCGAAGATTCATTATGTGGGCCCGAATTATACGTCTGGGGAGACCGAAATTCTCCTTTAGCGTTTCTTCTAAAACTCCGTAATTTAGTTCGGAGGGTATTATCCCTTTAAGGTTACGGTAAACGTTTTCTTGATGAAAACATCATTTTTTCGATTTTTTCACATTCAAGTAGCCGAACTTTCAAGGCACACAATGATACCAAATTTGAAACAAACAGAAATTTTGAAAGTGGAAAAAATCCCATGTAACAGAAGGTTTCCATAATTTCTTTATCAAAACTTTTAGTTGAGGCCTGAAAATCTCTTGACCTGTTAAGCCGATTATCGTTGCTTTGCGGTTGTGGTCGCATGTCTTATTTACAATATCGCATGGCACATCCATATATCCAATGTACGGCCGTGTTTATTTAAACAGGCTTATTGATCTTAAATCTTCAAGTGACTTGACCCGGATTACACTGTGGTTTACGAGTGTATCTTGCAAGTGCGATCAGTAAAATCCCGTTTTCTCCGGACTCAAAATTCCTCTACATGCAGGTACGAAAAAGCTATTATGTACCCAAGGAACCAATCGAATGGCTCGAAAATTTGCACACGGCCAGGGCAGATGTTGGGCAAACAAAGTGTGTCTCAAAATTCTTTTATTTTCTCTGGTCCGTCTTTTATACCCAAATACAGCTGCGGGAGGGTGGAAAAATTATTTGCCAATTTTTGACAGGGTATAGTTTCATAAAGAGGAGGAATTTAAAAAATCTGAGACACACTTTGGTAGCTTAGGACCTGCACTTCCTGCTGGTCTAAGTCAGATTTTGTTACCTCAAACGGAAGGGTACATAATAGCTTTTGAAGGTGGTAAACTTTTTGACCAGTAAATTCACATGGAAAATACCATTTAACATTATTTGCCAATAATTGTTATCTGGCTAGATACGCCATAATCTTGTGCATCGAATGATATATAGTTTATCCAGATTTCTTGAGCCGTTTTGCCTTTAGGAAGGAAAAACCAATTTTCGTGTTCAAAACGTTTACCGTAACCTTAACAGTATCTAAAGCTTCTCCCCTTAGTTGGCCCACTAAATACGTGAACTTTGCAGTGTTAGGGAGGTCTGGAGAGTTCCCAACTTGCGACTGGAAACGTTCCCAAAAGCCAAACCATTCGGTAATATTCCCATCAAAGGTCGGAAGGTTAAGATCGGGCAATTTTGATCAAGAAAATGACTGTGAATTATGTGGCTGTGAATTGGTTGTGGATAGCTTATCAAATTTCGTTAGAAGAAACTGAATGCATTAACCGAATATTTTGAATACGCGGAATAATGTGAAAAAATAAAATTTTGATTTTGATTCATCGTCTATGTTTTATCTTGTTCTTAGTTTATTGCTGACTTCAACTTTTTCGGGCTCTTTGGAAGTCTCGGGCGAGAAACTTGCAAGAGAGGCTCAACATTTTTCTGACGTCATTTCAGGAACGATATCAACGCGAAGCTTTAGTTGCTCTGTTTATTGACTACGAAGTGAATTTGTGCCGGTAGATATATCGTTGGTGCTTCGCTGTTTTTCATTTTATCGAAATATGTCTGATACAAGTTCGCGGTCAGATGACAGTTGAAACGATTCAGACTGCAGTTACACCGAAGAATATGTTGGAGCGGCCGCAAGAGTAAGTGTTTACGGCGATGCAAGGATTGTCGTTCCCTATTCCGACGAACCCCTTGCTGATGAGGCTTGGTTGGAAGAGTATAGGAGAGAAAAAGAAGAAGAGCAAAGAGAAGAAGAAGAATTGAAAAAACGACTTGATGGTAGCACAAAGCTTAAATCGTGGTAAGTTACGTGCCAAGTTTTGGAAGTTACAAGCAAGGGCCTAGGTACTTGACAAATGCAACCGGAGTGGGTTTGAGAACGTGTATGACTTTGGCTACACGTTTTTGACCCTTAAACTTGCGTGTAACTGCAAGCCCACTTGGCGACTACGCATCATATTATATACGTTTTGGTTTGGACATAGTAATTTAAAAGTAAATGTTTAAAAATCAAATATTTGTAATTGATAACATGCTTTAGTAAAGGTCCTTGATATAGCGGTTGTATCATCAGTAGGTGTATACGCATACTTTGCCTTTGGAAAGGGAAAACAAAACACAGAAGTTGGTGAAGGAAAAGTAGTTAGAAACCCTAATAAAACATAATAGGACAACTGAGCTGTTGTCTTCTTTCGGGCAACAGAGCTCATTCCACTGAAAATCAGGATGAAAAAAGGGGTTTTAGTTAAATCGAGGGGTTTTAGTTAGACTATCTTAGTTCTTTATTTTATCGTGATAAAATATGAATATTTTTCCTTCTTTGGCCATCCGCTAGAATTTCTTTTCCATTATGTCCCTGTGCTATTTGAGAACCTCTTCTGACAAGTGTTGTTTCCATACTTACCTAAAGTTTGTAAAACACTTAATATCATTTTATTACATAATAACTTTTCTTAGGTGTGAATGTGGGAAATGTGACAGAATATTGTTGCAAAATGCAATGGAATGTAGATGTTGCTTGGAAATTGATCTTTGTGTTGAGGCAATAAATGATGAGTTGGTGTTCAGAGAGCTTGGTTGTGTACCATCTTGTATGACCCCACATCCAGGATTCAGGCCAGTATGTCTTGAAACATGGTCATTGCGTCTTGCATCTACAAAATATAAGACAAGAAAAGGACAGAAATATAGGCATACTGGATCTGTTCCTGAGGAGAAATTTCTTAGGAGTGTCTCGTATAGAGAGTTTACAAGCCTGGTCTATGGAATCATTGGGAAAAGAAGAGTACCTTTGCCTGCATGTGCATATCATGCTATCCGTAACAAATTTAAAGAAAATGACATATTTACAGGGTATGTGGATGATGTAAATGAGTGAATAACTGCATTTATACAAAACACTGATCTTGTTTCTTACTGTGAATCAAAGTAGTTGGTTCATTCCTTTTCATTGTCAAAATTTGGGCAATCTGTATATTTATGGCCTTTCATTGGTTGGTTGCATAGACCAGGCTTGTAAACTCTCTATACGAGACACTCCTAAGAAATTTCTAAAATAAATGGACAGTTACTTCACCTGAAGAAAATTTTTGGAAATATAACGTAATACTAGCTGTGGTCTCCAAGGTGGCTTATCATTTAACACTTTTTTGCTAATTGTCAGTTAATATTTTATGCAATTTAAATTGAAAATTTACAGTATTGATATAATAAGAGAATATTGGGTGTTGCCCTGGTTTTGTAAACATCTGTAAATATGAAAAAGTTTAGATAATAAAAATAAAATTAGACAATAAAAATAAAAGACAGGTGCTTTGATTTCAGGATGTTAAATATATATTCATATCAATTATCATATATTCATATCATATCAAGTATTTGACAAATGGTAAATAAATTATATTTTGGATTTTCTTTCTTGCCAACGCACCTGTGGCTGGAACATTGATGGATGTTGCTTTATCGCGAGACTCTTTCTTGGCAAGGGCATCTTTCCTTGTCTGCCTATCCAGCATCCGGTTCATTGGTTCAGGGCATGCCAGCTTCAATTCGTCTTCTACCTCTTTTAAGGTCTCTGAACTTGTCCTCATTATTGAGATGAAAATTTCACTGACATACCCTTAATAAAAGAAAATTGCAATTTTATATCGAAATAGCATTTTTGAGAGAATCAAAATATTTATTTACATAATTCTTTCTTGAAATAAGGGAAGTACTGTATGAATGAAACTGAAGTTATACAAAGTGCATTACCTAAATCCTGTTTGACTCTTACATCGCGCACAGTTGCTTGTCCAGTTTTGAATTTAGGCCAGGACACAGCCACTTGTTTTTCACCATCCGAGGTTGTTTTACTCTCGCGTCTCAGGTTACAGTTGAAATGGATAGATGCAAGAATATGTCAGTTAGCAAATAAATTTCACTTAGTATCTGAGCAGAAACTGTATATACAAAGTAGAAATACATCATACAAAATTGATTCCCACTTTTGATAAATTTGGAAAATATACAGTACCGTATCATCATTCCAGTGTGTGAAAAGGCAACCATCTTTGGTGCAAAATAATTCACAAGTGAATGGAATCCTTCGAGACAACTAGTTTGATCAAGTGGAGATGCCTTTTTTATCCCATTTACCAGCCTCTTGTTCGTAAGACATGCCTCCAATTTCTCATAGGCTGTTGATTCTAGAAACCGATACAAGGAAATCTGTAGCATGCTTACATGAGATAATATAAAAAATAAATGCTGTGTTTCATAACCATTGCAGCAGTTATCTTTTTGAAGTCAGTTGAGCAGTCACATCTGTTATCTTTGCAGCACTGTAATTTTTACAGAATTGAATGTTAAGAATCTTCAGGATTCAGCTTTGTAATTTTCTGTTAAGCATTTATTTACTACAATTAAAGAATATCATCATGACCTTTAAGAAGGTTAACCCACTTTTTTTTAACCAGAAACGGTCATTAATTTCTGCATGTTCGCATCGGTTGAACAGGGGATCATCCAGATTGTCATGCTTGTCAATCACGTGACTCAAAAATGATTTGAATTTGGCCCAAATGACATTTCCATTCCCATCGAATGTTGATGTGGCACTCCAAAATAGGTGGTTAACACATGGCTGTACCCATGGCTCAAGCGATTTGCAGTCATTTTGTTTGGCCAAGTTTGTAAGTTCTTTGTGGATCTCTACAAAAATGAAATAAAAGTCATAACCTTTTGTCTCTGTTAGCTTAAGAGTTAGACCCACTTAGCTCCATATTCTTATATGCTTAAACTTACTTTTTTTCAAATGCCATAGGTCAAAGTAGTGGGTTATATCTGGCAGCTGTTCCCGCATATGTTTTGCAATTGTTGTATGTCGGTCAGATACAAATGTCGACAACTGCAGATTTTCACTTTTCAAATGGGCAATGGAATTTTTAAAACCAGCATATTCCATAGCTTGACTGCTACCGACTTCATTTCACTGGAAAAGAAAACTTGGCATAAATTACTTTTTCATATAATGTATGCTCAAGAAGGGAATAGTACATTATTGATAAGCTGTCTGTCTTATAATCAAGTCAAGAGAGAAAATTGTCCAGGTTTTGTTGCAGACACCTTTAAACGCTGCCAGGCTAGATTTTTGGATAGTAAAAATAATAAAGTATGGACATTGTAAAATTACAAAAAAATAAATTTGTGTGACTTTATCAGGATATATTTGAGTATTACCTAAACAAAGTATTACCTGAACAAGTGAAAAGTCTATTATCTTGTCATTGTTACAACAAAAAATTGTGTAAGTGCCATATTTAGCTGAGAGGCCCGTACTGTCATGACGACCATCACCAGCTATCACCAGTCCCTTGTCCTCTGTTGCACGTAACGATGAAAGTATTGCCTTCTGGTATTTTTGCCAGTACAAATAGATGGCTGGAAACAAAGTCTCCTAAGGAAGAAAATCAATATCAATAATATTAAGGAATTTTCTGAATTATACATACCACTTAAAAAAAATCAAGTTTATTTAGATCAGGAAAATATTCTACACTGATTCCAGGAATAGGTGATGTGATAAATTCTACTACTTACAAGAACTCTAATAAAAAATATTACAAAAATTCTTGATTTTGTCAGGGAATAAGAAAAAATAAGAAAAAATAGCCAAATAAGAAAAAAACAAAAAGTTACTTTATGTATTAAGTAATTTATTGTAGATATGCCAATAAGGTATCAGTTGTCTAACATATCAATTACCTTTTGATGTTTGGAAAAAGTCTTAAGTGATATGCAACACAGGCCCATGTTTTTAAAAATCTGGAAAATCTTTGATGCACATCCACCAGAAACTAATGTCGAAAAACTGAGGAGGAAGTTCCCAGCAGCGATTCTAGACCCTGGCATCCATGGCTGGCTATACCATACATTGTCCTTTTGGCTGCACTTCTCATTAGCACAAGTCAGTATCACCTGGACCATTGTGCCAACAGTCTTTGTCTGAACTAATGGGTTGTCAGCTTTGCAGATTGGGCAAAAGGTGAACAACAGTAGCAATTTTGAAAGAAACACAAGGAATTTTGGCTCGGTCCGCAATCTGTCTTCTTGTCTATAAGGGAATTTGTAAGAAAACCAGGAACTTGAAGTTTTATACATTGTTAATGATTATTATTATCATGATTGATGATTTAGGTAAAGTTGCAATAATCATTCAATCCACATTTGGCTTACATGTTTTTATCTACAGGTTCCTGGTCTTCATCGCTTTCATCACCACTCTCATATAAGTCGTCAGCAGCTGTCATCTCATCATCAACAACATCATCCTCTGAATTCGACCCACTACTAGCATCTTCATTTCTGTCATCGTTATATCCAACATCCATTGCTTCGTAATCATCAATTTCAATTTCATTTTCCATGTCTGCCATTTGTTGTTTCATTCCTAATATTAAAAAATATGTTTTGATTCTCAATTAAAAATTCAAGTGAAAAAATTTGGAACTCAGAGTTAAAAAAGAAATATTTTTTTAAGAATAAATTGATTAAGACTGAACCACACTGTATTATCTCCAAAGTACAGTTGATTAGACAAGTCTTCTGCATTGAATATACCTTATGTACATTGGTGGAGAGAATGGGCCTTGGTAGAATAACAATAAGAACTTTAAAATGCTCCTGACAAGACTTTTCCTGTTTGACTTACTTGAAATCTCTCTTTGTGCTGCATTGAATTTTGTCCTAATATGACTGATTTTTTGCTTAGAACCAGCCCATCGATTTTTATAAATTCTTTTCCAGTTGCTTAGATGTTTGCATCTCTGGCATTGGTAATATGTCTGTGTCCCACATTCATAACAAGGTTGTGTTTCTGTTTGTGTTGTTTCGTTTTTCTTCAAAAAAACCATAAAAAATATTCATTTTAGGAAATGGAAACAAATATAGCATATATAATATATATATATATTTGCCTGTTCACACAAGCAGGAGTTCAGTGTTACCTAGTAATTTCAATGCAGTATAGAAAAA